CGGGGTCCTTACGCCAAAAACCCAGGGGTTGGGGGGCCAAGGCCCCCCTTTCCCCCCGGGATTTTTTTTTTTTTTTTTTTTTTTTTTTTTTTTTTTTGTCTTTTATCTTTTTCCGTGTCCGGCAACAGATCACAACCCTCAGTGTTGCCCCCGTACCAGACCGGGGACTGGCAACGGGATTGCAACCCTCAGTGCTGCCCCCACACCTCGCTCAGCCAGTGAGCAGGAACCGGTCTGTATGTGGGATCCGAACCCTCGGGCGGGAGCGCCGCCGCGCTTCCGAAGCGGCGCACTATCCAGTGCGCCACCGGGCCAGCCCCGAGATTCTATTTTTCCATGGATTCTGCCTTCACTTCAGCACTGCTCTTCATTTGGAGGGATTCTCCTCCTCTTTCAAACTTTACCTGGAATCTTTTCTCTGGTTGGGTGGCCCCAGTTCATATTTTCTGTGACTGGCATGGAGGTTATGCTCCAAAGCCTTTTCAGTGTTAGGTGCAGTACTGGGAACCAACAGCACTATCTCCCATCTGCAAAGACACTCGGGGGTGGGAGTCCCTTGCAGTCAATGTCCACAGCTCCGTCTCCTGTAAGTCAGCTTGCTCCATTCCTCCCTGCCTGGTTTGGTCAGTTTACAGGAAAGTATTACACCTGTGGGAGATGTCTGGATTTTTAGCTGTTTATCTAAGGGAGTTTCCAGCCAGGTCTCACAGGTTCTTATCCACCATCCTGGGGCCCATCTTGCTGATACAGCCAGAAGCAGGTCTCTTCCTTCACTTGTTTCAAGGTTTATACCCACTGGAATGCCCCTTTCTCTGCCCCCTGGACTGCAGGGATCTCTGTTAGCTAATCTGCAGAGCAGAGAGAACTGACATTCCCAACACAATGAGTGGATAAGTCTTTCCTGACGCAGGTTGTATCTGAGCCACAATGCAGGTCCCTCCTCCAAGAGGGTTTTCAGGGCTTATCATCAAAGATTTCCAATATAAAAACATTTTATATTTGAACATCAGCAAGCAGCTTTTGCAGGAAGGTAGTTCCTTAATATGCCGCATTAAAGGAATCATGACACCAGTATTTTCCCCTTTGAAGAACCTACAGTCCATGTGCATAGATATGTCAAATATTTACAAAGATTAAATCATACTGAAGAGTTAAATAAGTATACAAGGCAGCGTTAGAAACTTAGGTGACAGCATTAAGGATATGATAATCCTGTAGGGGATTAACTGCTGAGTGAATGACTGACAGTTAGTGCTGCAAACTTAGAGGGGAGAGCGGTAATTTGGTGTGCATGCTTACCCAATACATAAATTAATCTAATTTGTTCTGCACAAAAATCCCCCAAACCCTGGCTTGAGCTGTTGCTAATAAACACTATTCTCTGCTCTGTTTCTGTGGCTCTGATCAAAAGGCAATGTCCTTTCTCTTCCCCCAGCCTCACTCCAAGGATGAGACTATGCGTGTTACGTCCGTGGCACTCCCTAACCTGAATAGCATTCCAAGCCCATTCTCCAGCATGTTCGTCCAAGCATCACTGGGCAGAAGGCCACATGTGACACTACTGCAGGCCTGACAGCCTGGACAGGCACTGGCTCTGCTCTGAAGCCCCGACACTCATCCTGTCCTGACTAGGGAGCTGGACAAGAGCGTGCGCAAGGCAGGGTGGGGACAGAGTCATCGCCAGCCAGGGAAGCACCACTAGCCAGTCCCGGGCATTGGAGAGGGCCACATGCTGATCTTATCATACACTGGTGGTTCCAGTGCAGCTGCCAGGTCATTGCCCTCAGTGACAAGTCATTGTGGGAGGGATACTGGTACTATTTCTCCTCCTGAATCCTCAACCCAAGGCTTCTTGGAACTCACCGGTAGTCTGGAGGAAGTCCTCCTCCTCTCTTGCCACCAGGTAGGGCCTCTGATAAGTAACAAGTGCCCTCCGCTAAGAAAGAGGGCTGAGTATGAACACCCAGAAAACAGTCAGGATAACTTCGCTTCCTCTCTTTTCCAGAACAGAAGGATTAATACATTGTCAAACTTTCGGGGCCTGGGACTGGGAACCCCACCTCTTCTCAAGCATATCAGTTCCAGCCATGTGGGCTCCAGGACATAGGATTCAACAAGATGAAGAGGACGTGGCTTCTGCAGGACAGTCAGCACACCCTTATCTTCATTTTGAAATGCTGCTCATTGGGCAGGGGTCTTGATCGCTAAACCAGGGTGCCCCTTGCTCAACAGTGTATCAAAAGGCAGCATTGGGCCGGCCCGGTGGCGCACTGCTACAGTGCGCCGCTTGGAAGTGCGGCGGTGCTCCCGCTGAGGGTTCGGATCCCACATACAGACCGGCCGCTCACTGGCTGAGCGCGGTGCGGGAGCAACACCGAGGGTTGCGATCCTGTTGCCGGTCCCGGTCCGGTACGGGCGCGACACTGAGGGTTGCGACCCGTTGCCGGTCACGAAAAAAGACAAAAAGGAAAAAAAAAAAAAAGGGCAGCAAAGCCACCCCAAAGCAATGACGCATTTCAACTCAAAACACTGATTTGCCCAGTGGGCATGCTGGTGTGGGTGTGGGCATGTGCACAACTTGGGCACGAGGCTAAGTGCCCAAATGCAGACCACAGAGGTGCACAGGCAGGCACCTGTTCTGTCTTCTGTCTCTAAACGGTCCCCCACAAGTGACCAGCCAGGAGTCAGTGCTCACGATGGACTGATGGACTGTCACCACAGTGTGGACATGGCTGGGGCCTCCTGTCTCTGCTTGATGTTCTCTCCATTACCAGAATAAGCTTTCTTCGTCCACTCCTGTCAAAATTCCTCAAGGCCATGTCAAGTGTCTCTTCCTCTGGCACGCCTCACTGCAAACCAAAGTGCCCAGGCATTTGATCCATTCCTGCCTCTGTCCCTGCTGGGTCCCAGCGCCTTTGCTCACAGACACACACAAGATGCTCTAACAGGCTCTGAACCCTTTGGGGACAGCGACTGCCTTGCTTTCTTTTTTTCTG